GGAGATAGAGTGAGAGGGACAGGGAAAGTTATGGAGAGCAAGAGAGAGAGAAAGAGTGATAAAGAAGGGTAAATGTAAGGAAAGAAAGAGAGAGATAAAGGGGGAGGGGAAGAGAGAATAAGAGAAATAATAATTAAAGAACTGTATTTCAGCTGTGTAAATAAACTAGGTATGTTGAAGCTTGAATCAATAGACAGCACAGCAAGATATGAACGTTTCGGTTTAGAGATTTCTTCAGCCAACACAAGAAATAAATATACAACAAGAAACAAAGCACAGTAAAAAAAAAAAAAACTTTGGAGATATCCTTTGTTGTTGCCGGAAGTACATTTTTTTTTAACTGAAAGAATATGAATATAGGACATGTGAACAATGAGAATCTTATCGGACCAAAATATGAAGGGATACAGAAATATTAAAATATGTTGAAGCTTGAATCAATAGACAGCACAGCAAGATATGAACGTTTCGGTTTAGAAATTTCTTCAGCCAAAACAAAAAATAAATATACAACAAGAAACAAAGCACAGTAAAAAAAAAAAAAAACTTTGGAGATATCCTTTGTTGTTGCCGGAAGTACATTTTTTTTTTAACTGAAAGAATATGAATATAGGACATGTGAACAATGAGAATCTTATCGGACCAAAATATGAAGGGATACAGAAATATTAAACAATACAATAAAATTATAAATACTAGGATACTGAGAAGCACTAGAAGGATACTATTTTTTTAATACCATATGGAGATGGGGTGCTGAAAAGCTGAATTAAAAAGAAAGAGAAACTTGCCTTCCTTGGGTTTGATGGTTGTGGTAGGTACATCTAGAGAGAAAATAACAATTAAATATTTCGTTTCATCAAAACATTAAAAAAAAAAAATTGTTCAATGTGTATACCTGCTACAATAGCTACACTGTAGTACCTTTTTTAAATGTCATTTAGTTTAATGTATGAACGTATATATATTTATATATATTACTGCAAACAAAAACAACACATCTATATAATCATCTATAATTCCCCCCTTCGTTTTAGATATATATGTACCCACCACGTAGGAACTCTTGTGATGTTATTGAAGAATCAGACGGGTATGTACATCAAAAAAGGTAATTGACCAGCATTAAGTGTCTTTGGGAATATGTATCTTGGATGTAACACAAATTTGTTTTTAATTTTAGATAAACGTTAAGAGCTATGCCAACTGTTCGTTTTTTGCAATCTAAAAGCCAGGAAAAATATAGTTATACATATATATAATAAACGTGGAAATTTTTAAAAAAGAGACTAACCCTCTTCACATAAAACGTTATTGTTTTTCTCTGCGCATTGATGACAAGCTCCGTCAAAATTACATTGACCGCCAACACATTGGTCACTGCACGTTTGATTACAGTAGAGACCGTAGTAAGGGGGCGGGCAGTCTGAAAATAGAATTTAACGCTTTATCATTGATCGGGTGTCTATAGTATTCTGTGCAATCTTATGTTTTCTGGCACATCTCAAACATGTTTATTTTAAATTAAGGTTAACAGCTAGCTGGTGAGAAGATATGTGATGGCCTCATCTAGCTTTACTTAAAGACTCCCAACAAGGGACGCATTTTTAACAATCATGATCTCGGTAAAATTGATACAAAAAATAATCCTAATTTGGTGTTCAACTTTAAACAAAAATATTTTTTTAGGGATAAAATGGTCTGTTTAAAAAAAAAAAAATTACACTTGCTTATACTCTTAATTGTAACAGCCCATGTTAGCTATGTTTTTCCCACGAAACTAATATTTACTCTCACGTCACATTGGTGTAGTGATTTAATAAGAGTGATATAAAAACACGAGGAATGCAGGAACTTGGTGTTATGGCAAAAAAAGAATGCATGTTTTTAAGGGAAGCGAGAGTGTACGGCTTTATTTTGGAGGTGATGACAGACATATTGTTTTAATTTCTGCAATGGTTTATTGTATTACGATTGGATGGTCTATTTTTGAACGTGGTTGTATTTATATTCTTTTGCATTCAATGATTGTTACAAAGATATCCTAACATCAAGCATTTATTTGACTTATCTATTATAGGTAATACATTACTGTATAAATTATACTATGGGACTTGGTAAAATCTTGAGAGTGAGGAACAGATAACGTTTAGAAGTGCCCAGTGGAATTAATTAGCTACTCAATTCGCAGTGGCAGGCTTTAGTCTACTTTGAGTTCAAAGTATTAATTAACAATTTTGCCACAAAACATGAAGCATTATATAAACTCTTCTAAAGGGTTAAATCAAAATCAATTCACCTCCATACATCTGAAATTCACAAATCGTCAAGGAGCCAGATGTTACTTTGATCATTAGTTTCGAAACACTGGCTTTCATGACAGGGATGCTAAGAGTTTTGTCAGCTGATTGACTGGAAGTGTGGTCACATACAGTGTTGTTGGTTGCATTTATGCACTTTACATTGAGGACATGTATCTCTGCAGTTGTATCTGTTTAAACATGTAAAAGAAAAAAAAAATGGAGAAGCCGAGAAAACACCTGCAATAGGATTTTTTTTTTTTTTAAATTGAACCTGAAATGATGTAAGAGAACTCCATTTAATCATCGAAAAGCAGGATAAAATTTGTCCAATAAAAGAAGCGAACTAATATAACATATACTGGTGACACTATTGCTCTTATGTGTTTGTGTTTTAAAACTTTTGAATTGAAAAAATACAAGGTTAAATTTTAAATTATTCATTTATCGCTATATGTTTATAGTTATTCAAAAAAAAAAAAAATTCAATGTTGTTAGTTTATTTTTAAAAAAAAATGTTTATTCGGTTTGTGGTTTATAGTTACAGCTGTCCGACTTTGAAATGTTTTACTTACTTTTGTGAAAGCTGATTCCAGTTACAATTTGATTATTGTTTGTGATCAACGGCAATGCGTCATATTTGCTGCTAAATCTAATGCAGGAATGTATGCCACTGTCTCCATCAAAGATTGCTCTAAAATTATTTGGGGTATTATAGTTACAGCCTTCGGCTGATGCTCTTCCAAGTCCTACATTACGACCTGTAAGATAAAAAAAGAATAAATTATTTGTTAAAATATTTATTTTTATGTACATCATAATTCAATTTAAAATCTTTTAATGCACTTTCCTAGAAAGTTTAGTTCAAATTTAACACAAAACATATATTTACACCACCCCATACATGGTTTGTTCATATATATTTTTACGACCCTTTCAGGAAAGTGTCAATTACAGAATCAAAATTTCATGTTCTATTGATTAAGAGAGAAGAAAGTTAGAAAGGGAAAAATATGAAACAGACATGAGATGAGTTAATTGCAGAACATTTCACCTGTAACATTTCTAAAATAAATATCCTCTTTCCAATTTCTGGAGGGACAAGAACACTAGGGTCATACTTGTTAGAAGACACCCCACGCTTTTAAAACTCTTAAATGTGTTAGCAACAATTTAACACTTTCCCGTGTGATAGAAATTAATAAGATCCCTTTTCCTTTGGAAATTATGAAAATCAGAGATTGCTTTAATTCCACGATTTGATTTACACCACATTTTGTACAAGAGGAACACAAAAACATGTATAGGGAAGGCATTACATCGTCTTTGGTATCATTTTAGGGAACACCTGCAAAACATCAATGATCACATCCCTTGGAACACAATGGAATTTTAGACAATGTTGTAACACAATGGAATTTTAGACAATGTTGTTTCTTATGTCTAGCAGACCTATAAAATACCTGATCGAATTTATGTGGAAATTTCTAAACAAAATCAACATTTTAAAAAGCTCGAATGTATTCTGCTTTACTTTTTTTTATCATGAACTTCATCCCACGTTCCAACTTTTTGTTAGGTCTTATTCTATTTAAAAAAAAAAAAAAATACTTTTCTCAAAAATTTAAGATATTTGTAGGAAATACATGTATTAAGAAAATTAAATTCATAATAACATATATGTGTTTAAGGTGTACTAATAAAGGCATTCGCAATATCTTTTCGATGTGTTCTTTGAGTGATAATAATTAAATATTACTAAATAGTTAAAAAAAAAAATATATATAAATTATTAGCCGCTTGGGAATGTCTGTAAGCTCAAACTGCATTTAAATTTCCATAACTGGAAAACAGCTTGTCAATATCAAAACAGGGTTAAACTTTATAAGAAATGTATTAATAAGAGACATTATTAATGTCAAGTGTCATTTGTTTATTAACTCATTCATCATGCATGAACGTATAGATGTCTGCAAAAATAAAATGAAAACGGCAGATCAGTACGAAAAGAAAAGAAGATCAAAATCAGCACACACACGCATATACACTAAAACACACACACACACATACACACACCAAATACCCACAGGTACTCAAACATTTTTTTCTCACCTGCATTAACGTAGAGTGAACAGATTTGCCCGGCCCCTTTCCATTTCAACGTAAGAGACTCCACAATGTTGTCATCGTTGCAGAAGACATCAAAACTGTTGTCGATTATGTTGGGCGTCCTCAGTGATTGGCACGGCTTAATGACAGGCTTGCTGTTTACCACCTTTGTGAATTCTAAGGCAGTAATGACTACCAGTGCTGAAATTTTGAAATACCTTACACCAGCTATTACATGTAAAAAAAATATGTACAGGGGTTGGGGGGGTGGGTGTTAGGTTTTTGGGAAATATTTTAATGTTAATATAAACATTTTTTTTTCTGAAAGCAGACCTTGTGATTTTTTTGGATTTGTTTGTCTTCTAACTTGATTTTGAGAAGAAAAAAAACATGTTTTATTTGTTTAATGAAAATATTGTTTAAGTAAAACGTGAGATATTTTTCATGGTTTATCATTTAACTTATAATGATCTTATTTTTGTATTCATGGGTGTTTCAAGAAATCAAAATTTCACTTTGTTACAACACAAATCAAAATATTAACTAATTGATGAAATTTTTTTGTTCTTCCTTACCCGACCTGTGGAACACAATCCTGGCCCAGGTAAATACCAACGGTACTTTAAGTTTCCCATTAATACTTTTATTTCCACTCTTGTAACACGTTGTTTCGTTGTTGTCAGTCAGTAGTTGATTGAGTCCCACGGCAGTGCTGGCGATGTCACCTGTAATTTTATTTTACTTTGTGAATCCATTTACAGCTTACAAAAACAAATTATCTTGTATCGTCTAGAATAGCAGTGAACTAGCCAAACTCAGATTATATTGTATCATCGTAAAAAGCAGTAAACCAGACCAACTCATATTATCTTGCATCACCAGGACCAGCAGTAAACAAAACAAACTCAACTTATCTTGTATCATCGGACCAGCAGTAAAACAGCCAACCTCATAATATATTGTTTATTTATTTACACTTTTCTTTTATTGAATTAATAAAATAAAATAAATTAATATTGTCTCCATTTTAAAATCAAATACGGTATAACCTATTCCACTTACGGTACTGACATGCAGGACCAAACCATCCTATGTCACAATGGGTTTTGTTGGTGCAGTGGCCGTTGAGATCACAAGAATTGTTCTTACAGTGACAAAGTATATCACACTGTTTTCCAGTGTACCCTGAAGGGCAGCGATTCCCTAAAAATGACATATGATGTACATGTAAAACGTATGATTCCATCTAAATTCTTGTATAGTACGAGACGCAAAACACACTTCAAATACCATATAATGGCATAAAAATTAATTTCTCAAATTCTGTTTCTCTGATCTGCTCTCTTTCTTTAAATCTCTCTCTCTCTCACTATCTATCTCTTTCTCTCTCTCTCTCTCTCTCTCTCTCTTTCTCTCTCTCTCTCTTCGCTTTCTATCTTTGCCTCTTTAATACTTTCTATATCGCTATATATTTATATATCTTTTTATCAGTCTATCTATGCATCTATCAAATAATCTACCTTTTTATTATATATCAATCTATCTATCTATCTATCTATCTATCTATCTATCTATCTATCTATCTATCTATCTATCTATCTATCTATCTATCTATCTATCTATCTATCTATCTATCTATCTATCTATCTATCTATCTATCTATC